GTGCGTATAGGTTGGCCCTCTCCTGGGGCACGAGTCCTTTGTGTTTCACGTGAATGCCTATACATTGGCCCTTTCCAGGGGCACGAATCTTTCGTGTTTTGCTTGTTGGATTATAGATTTACCCTCCCCTGGGGCTCGAGCCCTGCGTGTTTTACGTATGCGCTTGTGGATTTGCCCTCTCTTGGGGCACGAACCCTTCGTGCTTTACGTATGTGCCTATATGTTCGCCCTCTCCTGGAGCACGAGTCCTTCGTGTCTTACGTGCGTGCATATAGATCTTCCTTCCCCTGGGGCACGAATCCTTTTGTGTTCAACGTATGGCCTTCTCTTGGAACACGAGTCTTTCTAGTGTTTTACGTATGTGCCTATGACGAAGAGGTGAGTGAAGAGGAGCAGTTTTCGGTTTTCTGGTGACGGTGTCCACGGCATTCGTGTTCACTCGTCCTCGTGCTTGAGGCGTGCCCCTGCCCAGTTCCTGGTCAGTTCTCCGCATACGTCGGCGACCGTGTTCGGGAGTGCGCGTGGTCTCAGGAGCGAGTGTGCGACTTCGGTGGCGCCACTCGTGCTGGCTCCTGGTCAGTGACGCCTTCCTGGCCATCGGTGACAGCATTACTTTCCTGGAATGTACTGCAAGCGAGCTGCCCCCTTCAGGGGCTGGGTGCACGAGGATTCGTGTGGTTTATCCTACGTCTTGTCCTCGCCCTCTGCGGCCACTTGTCAGCGTTGTCCTCCTCCTTTTCCTGCTCCTGCGACCGGAGGCCCGGCGTCTGAAGGCGTCTCTAGGGCTTGGTCTGCAGCGACCGTGCGCGGGTTAAGGTCGGGCCGACTCTTTGCCCGCGACCTCGCAGTGATGCGCTTGGACGCTCATCATGGGACGCAGTGCAGCAGTACAGTTGTGAGCTAGTGGCAGGTGCCGCCCTGGAGCATTCCCCACATGTTCACCACCTTCAACGTGTAGAGACTCGGGGAGCGCTTCATTGCATCGGGCGAGCGCCCTTGTACTTAAACCTGGTACGTGTCTACCCACCTGATTGTTTTTCGCCACTTCCATGCACCAGGTTCCTGGTCAGTGAGTTCCCCTGGCCTTTCCGGTTTCTGCGATCCTTCGTGGTGGCGCTCCTGGCTTCATCCTGGTTTCGCTCCCGCGCCATTTTGGCTGCGCCCCAACTTCGGTTGGCTAATTGCATGTGCTCGCTCCTGGACCTGGTTCCTGGCAGCTGCAGTCCGCACCCCCTCCCGCTTCCGGTGATCTGAGGTGCCGCCTAGGCCTCTGCTGCTGGCGCGTTAGGCAATTAGGTTCACGCGCGGCCCGCCCGTTTCGTTACTCGCCGCCTGCGCTTCCGCTTGCGGTTGCGACAAAATGTATCCCAACTAGCTCATCCAGAAACGATGCCCAGGACAGTTGCTTGATTGTTGAGGTTGACGGAGGCAGAATGACGAAGAGGTGAGTGAAGAGGAGCAGGAGGAGGAAGATGAGGAAGAGAAACAAGTAGAATGGGGGAGGGTGAAGAGGAGGACGTGGAGGGCAGGGGGAGAGAAGGAGAAGGAGGGCGAGGAGAATGTGTTCGCCGAGTGTTGGTCGTGAGGGCGTCTCGGAGGACTGCAAGGGCTATCTTGAAGTCTCTTCGGGCCATCTCGGGGTCCTTTTGGTACTGCCTGGGTGCCCCCTTGCAGCTTTTTGGATGGTCGCCTTGTTAGGGCGATATTGGGCCCCATGGCTCAAATAGAGGAGGTGTTTATAATTGGCCCCGTCCCCCCTGGAAGTCCGAGGGCCGTTGTGGAGCCATCTTGGGCCCCTTTCGGGGCTGTCTTGGGCAATTCTGGAGCCACGGGGCTCCAGAAGCCCATGGCACAAGAAAAGGCGAAAGTGTAACATATTACTGGTGGCGCTTAGGTTTTGGATGGATTTGGGCTTTTAGGGGGGCTTCCTCCGGGAGCTCCATGATCACTTGGGGCTGTTTTGAGCAATCCTGGGATACCGTGGGTCATCCTGGAAGCCATCTTGGGCTAGCTAGAACTCTCTTGGGGCCATCTGGGGGTCGCACGGGCGCGCGCTCAGGCCCGACATGTGCCAACTGTTGAGCGCGGGCGTTCTCGGTGGCCTCACGGAAGAAGCAGCCGCAGGAGGAGAGTCTGAATTGAAAGGCGGAGGAGGCCAGGAAAACGGGACGGGGGGAAGCAAGACGCACGCATGCGGCGCAATGGCGGCGAGCCGTCCGTCTGTCACCAAGGAGTTGATTTGGGCGGGGGGGAAAAGGGGGGCTGCCGCGACCGCGTCATCGGCCCATCCCTCGACGTTCTCCTTGGCGTGTCGCCGTCAACTCCTGAGCATACGGGTACGAAGTGCAGCGCTTGCGGCAGGGGGCGGGGTGGAGGGATACCTGACAGCGTGGCCACGAGAGGAGGGGGGGGAGAGGCTGAGGGGGAAGAGGATAATGAGGGTGATGAGGAGAAGAGGAGGACGAGGAGGAGGGAGGAGGTCTAGGACATCGAGGGCCGCCCCCCCCCCCCCCCCTGTGGCCACGCTGCAGGAGGAGGGAGGAGGAGGTGGAAGAGCATGGCAAGGAGGAGAGTGAGGTCCGCTGGAGGATGGAGAGGAGGCTCGGTGAAGGATGGGATGAGGAGGGGAGTAGGGATAATGAGGATGCTCGGAGGAGGGGGATAATTGGGAGGATGGGGAGGGGAATAACGAACATGATGATGAGGGTACTGAGGAGCAACAGTACGGAGATTCGGAGGAGGATGCGTAGGAAAAGTGGAGTGAGGGAGGGGGCAGGAGGAGCTTATCCATTGGCGCTCCAATTGAGGTTTCGGCGATCTTTGCGAGTCACCGGTCGAGGCAAAGGGACCTTGGTAGAGAGCCAAGCAGTCTCACCCAATTTGGAAATTAGTGCAGTTAATGGTATGCAGAACTATTCCAGGGGAAGTCGAGAGTGTCTGACCGCTCAAAGCTTCTTGGTCAAGACGCGTGGCTGAGAGTTTTGGGGAGTGGTCTCAAGCTGGTTTCGACCTGGTGTCAGACGGGCCTCAACGGTGCCTGAGCCATCAACCTGGGCCCTGACCTGATCTCAACCTGGTCTCAACTTGGTCTCAATCGGGCCTTCACTCACCTTAACTCACAACCAGGCCTTAAACCGAGTCTTAACCTGTTTTCAATCTGGTCTCACGACGAGAAACAAGCGACGTTGAAGACAGTGAAACTTCTCGCGAGCGAAGTGATGAAATTCAGCGTGCGCGATTGTGGAGACGATACGTGCGCACTCGCGAAGCGTGGCTCATGCGATCCCCTTGGCAATCACATGTCATGTTGTAGCTCACCGGGTCCCTCGCCGCTATCCACTACAACAGCGTGGGATGGTTTCACTTCTTGCTGGTGGACAACCCGGGCCACCCGCGCGGAGAAAGATAATCGCGCTGCAGGTTTTGCGCACCAGATTCGCCAGTTGCGGCTCGGTGATGACGGCTGTTGCAAGCGAGTTGAGCTGCTCGAGAGCGGGGGATGGCGCGGCTGGATCTGCGCGAGCAGGGGCAGCGTGCCCCCCCGGAGTTCAAAGAGGACCCGCTCGGGATATTTTCGTAAGGAGACAGCTTCAACATTTTTCGGTGATTGTTTACGAGCTCTTCTCGGGTATAGCCAGGACCCCGGTTTCAGGGGAGCCGGTTAGTGATTGGGCCCCGAAGCCCAAAATATGGATTGGAATCACTAAGCCAGGTCTGCCGTAGCTGGTGCTTTTCGGGCTACGGCTGCTCCGGCCAGTGGAACGGGTCGGCGGGGGCGTCCCCCGGTACGCATCACTAGACTAGGTCCCACTAAACCCAGCCCTGCCAACGCCCGATCTTCACCGGCAGCAGTTTAGTTTCGGAAGCGCACAGTACTTGCCGTGCGACGAAGACGAGCCTGCGCCGATGCATCGCCGCACGAGCCAAAGAGGTCGGTCTCGTCGGTTTCGTTCGGCGCTCGGAGCACTGTGGCCAGGCTCACTCGTAGCGGGGGTGGAGGGCCTCAGTGGGGTGGGCCTGCGCCCACGGCAATGCCGGCGGCGCGCCGCGTTGCCCCGACCAGCTCCGCAGCGTGGTGGTATCGCACATGCCCTGGCCAGGCAGCGCTGTTCGGGAGATCTGTCGCCCCCCCTGGCAGCTGCTGCAGCAGGAGGAGGAGGGTCAGGAGGAGGACGCCGAGACGAATGGCGGCGAGGAGGGCGAGGAGCAGCGACGTTGACACGCATGAGAAGTTCCACCCCGGGCGGAGTCCACAGCGCTTCCAGAAGCTGGGGCTATGAGAATCTATTGCGCAAACTGCCGGAAAGCATCAGCAACACACCACCACGAGTTTCTCTTGCTGAATGTCCATGATGGTGCCAGTGGCGAGGGGGTGGCAATTGCGGGAGAAAGCTATACACCACTGGTGGCCGGCCAGGGCCATCTTGGGCCCTAGGGTCGTATACTGGGGGGCGGGAAACATGTCCATATTCACGGCCTCGCAGTATGAATTGCTCGGCTACGGCCATATGGGTACAGGTCGGTTTTGTTTGGTTGGCCCGCGCGGAGGTTTCTTCTTGGGATCGCGTAGCTATGCCACAACCTCCTTAGAATCCTTGACGTTACGCAGGACTCACAAAGACCTGGTCGAAATACTTACAACTGCCAAAACCGGTGTGTTCTCTCTCTCTCTCTCTCCCCTTCCCTCCTTCCCTATTCCCTTATTCCCCTTCTGCATGCGTCCTCCTCGTCCTCGGCCTCAGGTCGTTCCCATGACGACGACGACGACGACGACGACGACGACGACGACGACGACGACGACGACGACGACGACGACGACGACGATGGTGGCGGCGGCGGGGGCGACGGCGACGTTGACGGCGATGCCGACGCCGACGCCGCCACCGCCGCTTCCACCGCCGCCGCCGCCGACGACGACGACAATGACAACGACGACGACGATGGTGGCGACGCCAGCGGCGTTGGTTGTGGCCACGACGACAGCGCGGGGGCCGGCCGAGGCCGCTTCGCCTGGTGCTGTCCGTCTTGTCGCAGGCCGCGGGGCTGCGCGCGGCTTCGGCTGCCCTGGGCCTTTGGGCGTATTGTTATTGATTTGGTCCTAACCATCCTGAGGTGTTGGGTCGTCGTTGTGAAGAGACAGCACCCCGCGTTCCCGCCTCGCTCCTCTCCTCCCTCATCCAGTCACCGCTCGCTGGACCTACTGCTGGCTTGGCTAGGTCTGGGTCGGTGCGGGTGTGGTGCTCTTCAAGCCTGGTCGCTTCCTCGCCGTCAGCCACCATCTTTTGTCGCAGGCCAAGAAATGCAGATGGTCAGGGTCGGCGCGCGCCCGGTGCTCCTCGAGCCCGCGCGCTGCCTGTGTGCCGCCGCACCTGCTCCGGTCGGACCAGCCGTTGGCCCTACACATGCTCACCGCTCGGGTGTGATCTGGACGAGGTGGCCGTCGAGTGGCATCGGGTGGTCGGCTGCGCGAACGTGGCCCCCGGGCTGCCCGAGGTGGCCCACCACGCCTCCGATCGCCCGCGGCCTGCGGCACTGCTGGCAGCCACGGGGCCTAGGATATGGGCGACGTCTTCGGAGAGGCGCGCCTGTCTCGCCTGCCCTCGCCCCCCCTCCCTGCCGCCTGTCTCGAAGGCGCCGCGCGCCCCCGGCCCCCTCTCTGCTCCTCATGTTCAGCGCGTTGGCTCCGTGCCCGTGCCTGGGTCGGTGGACGATGTTTCTGCCACCATTCTTCCCTTCGCTCCGTCATTCGGGATGCCTGCTGGTGCCCCTGCCGCTCCTCTCCGCCACTCTCACTCCGCCGAACGCGCCTCCTGTGCCTTGGCTACCGGTCCTAGTCATCTCACGCCTGTGCCCGTGTCCTCGTTCGCCGCTGCTCCCCTCCGTTCCCCTCCGTCGTCTCTTCCCCGCTTTTCGCCCCCCTTTCATGCCGCGCCGCTCGTCGGACGGTCGTCGATCGTGCACCTCGCCCCTGCGGGGCTTGCGCCGCCGCCGTTGCCCAACCTGCCCGATAAATTCGGCGTGGACACCTCAGGGGGTCCCTCGCCTCTGCTCCCCGTCCATGCCTTCGATCTTGCCGAATCGTCTGCTATCGCTTCCTCTGTTCCCCATTCCTCCGCTAGCCACGGGGTCTCTAGCTGTGATTTGTGGCGGCTTCCCTTCTCACGTTCGTTTCTTCCTCCTCCCCTTCCTCCCCCTCCCCCCCATCCTCCCCCTTCGGGTACAAGTCCTGGGGGGTCAGATTCTGACCTTGCCATGGTCCAGAATCTTGCTCAATCCAGCTTCGTCCCATCTTGTCCGACCCAATCCGGCGCAGTCCCGCTCAATCCGGTGCAATCCGCGGCCTGATCCGGCGTAGCAGCCCCCCAACAGGGCTGAATTCTCCCTTATCTTTCCGGCGGGCGAAGACCTCCGCCCTCCCCTAAATCGGGTGTTGCTAGAAGTGCCCCTGGCCCAAGGTGCCCCCAGCTTGTCGCTCCATCCCTGGGGCCCTCCGGGCCTCGTGAGGGGTCTTCTGGAGGCCGTCTGGGCCCCCCCGAGCCTCCTGGAGGTACCTTAGGCCAGGGGTACTTCAGGAGGGGAAAACACACACAGACACAATTACTGTAATCGTCGATTCCCCAGAAAATATGGGAAAATATGGGAAGTGGGGGGGGAAGACAAAAACCCAGAACATATGGGAAAATATGGGGAATCGTTTTATTTGTGTGTATTTATTTGTGTCCTGGGGCCCCTTCAGTACTTCTGGCAGCACCCTCCCCGCGCCGCCGCGGCCGCCGTCGCCGCCGTCCTCGCTGCCGTCGCCGGCGCCCGCCAGGCGGACGCGCCCGGGGCGCTGGAGGCCGTCGAGGCGCTGCGCCCGCGCCCCTCCGCGGCTGTCTGCCCTCGCCGCCCCGCCTGGGGCGCCGCCAGTTGCGGGCGTTGGCCGTTACTGACGTCGTCGTCTTGCAGCGTCGTCGTCGTCGTCGTCGTCGTCGTCGTCGTCGTCGTCGTCGTCGTTCGTCGTGATCGTCGTCGTCGTCGTTTTCGTCGTCGTTTTCTTCGTCGTCGTGGTCGTCGTCGTGCAGCAGCGTCATCATCGTCGGCCGCCGCCGTCGGCGCCTCCGCTGTCGCCACTCGAATCGAGGGTGGGAAACCGCCTGCGCATGTAAATTCTCGGAAGGCTGATCGGGTCTACGAACGTGCGTGGCTTTCCATACGAACGCCTTCATGGGGCAGCGTGTCGCACGACGTGGCCCAACGTGCAATCGGTAGCCGTTCCCGCGCCCCGAGGGCAGCATTGGCCCAGACAGAGCGTCTTCATTGACGTGATCCGTGTCGACGGCCTCGACGTCGTCGGCTTCGTCGATGTCGTCGACGTCGACCGTCGTGGTCGTCAAAGTCGTTGTTTCGGACGGCGCATTCGTCGTCGTCGACGGTGTTGACGTCAATGGCGTTGTCGCACTCGACGCGGTGCGGGATGTCTATGTGACACTGGAGCATTATGCGTGGCTCTACCAAGAGCTTTCCGCGGCGTCTTGTGGAGGGCCTGCGAAGATCCCGATCGGGAATCCAGTGTGCAGCGTCCTTGCTCGCGCTACAGTGAGCCACGTGGGACGGGGTGGGGTTTGCGTGCGTGTGTGTGTGTGGGGGGCAAAACAGAGGTCTGGGAGCCCTACATTCGAAGCGTTGGAGTCCTGTGGGATGCCTCGTGGAGAGCCCTATAGGAAGCCTTTTCTGGTCAGAGCTACGGGGCGCCCTGTTGTGACTGCTGGCGGCCTTGGGGGGCCACGTTGTGATCAAGAGCTCCGAGTGGGAAGATCAGTGCCCCTTGGGGCCGTCTTGAAAGCCTCTTAGGCCCCTTTTTAGACATCGGAGGTTGTCTGGGGGCTGCATTTGGTGGCCTGTCGGGCTTTTGGAGAGCCTCTCGAGGCTTCTTGGGGGCCTCTCAGTGGCGTTTTGGGGCCCCTGGGGCGGAAGGCTCGAGATTCAAGTTCGAGGTTCCTCTTTGGGGGCCTCTTTTGGGGCTCCTCTTGTTCCGTCTTGGAGGCCTCGGGGCCCTATGCTGCCTTTTTGAAGCAGTTTTTGGGGCACTCTGGGCCGTCTGAGGCGATATTTGGAGCCTCTTCGGCCGTCTTGGAGCTTGGGAGTTCAGAAAAGACAAGCACATTCAAACACTTTCAAACACCTGGAGACGTCGATGCAATGTGTGCCTTTGGGTTCCTTGGGGGTCCCAGGAGTCGATTCTTGGAGGCCTCATGCATTGTCGTGAGGCCTTCCTGGACCGCCCAGGAGCGCTCTTGGGCAGTTTCATGCTCCCTTGGGCCGTCTTGGGGGCGCCTTGGGGACCCCTTGGTCCGTCTTGGGGCCCTCTGGCCTCTGGGAAAGTGACGCCGGAAACCCGAACAGGTCTGCAGGAAGCCCCAAGATGGCTGCGGGAGCACGCCGGACACCCAGGAAGTCCTGCAACTTTGGGCCCAGGTGTCAACGTCAACATGTAATAGCATGGAGGATCGAGGACCTGAGGACACTCCAACTCCAGTCTCGCGGAACGATGGCGGAACATGTGTATGTACATATAAACATACATAAACATATACACACATATACATATATACACACACACACACACGCACCCACAAGTGCCGATGTACATGTTTATACCATGTATGTCTGTCTAATCCCCTGGGTTGTGGGTCTGAAGCCTATTGGATGTTTGTTGGGATCTCGCAGGGGGCCTCGCAGGGGCATCTTGGAGGCAGTTTGGAGGCCTCCTGGTGGCCATTTTGGTGCCTCTCCGAGCCTCTTTTGGGAGCATTTCGGGCATCTTCGGGTCTCTTGGGGGCCTTGGGGCCTCCTAGGCGCCTCGGGTCGTGCTTCCTCTCTTGGGTCCCTTTTGGGCTTTCTTGGGCGACTCTTTGGTCGTCTTGCAGCGCTCTTGGGCCGTCTTGGGGCCCTCTTGGAGGCCTCGTGGGCCATTTTGAGATGGTCTTTGGCGCCTCTTGGGCCATCTCGGAGTGTCGGAAAGCCGAAAAGGCGAGAACGCGAAAATCCTTCAAACACTTGAGGTCAATCATTGACTTTGGCTTATTGGGGCCCCCTTGGGAGGCCTCTTGGAGGCCTCTGGGGGCGCACTGGCGGCTTCTAGGGCCGTCTTGGGGCCAGCTTGGGCGTCTTGGAGTTATGTTTCGGCGACTCGGGGCCCTCTTGGACCGTCTTGGGGACCTCGTGGAGCCCTCTTGGCCCGTCTTGTGGCATGCGGGGCCCGAAGAATGGGATTCATGCGACAACACGCGGGAAGCCCCAAGAGATTTCGGAATGTGGGGTCCGGGCCCTTTACAGACTCCTCAGGGCTGAGGGCTGAGGCTCCAGGAATGCGGCAAAGGACCTGAGGACACGCCTACTCCCTGCCCAGAGGCACGTTGGCGGATACATAGGTGCGCTGATACAGTCCGTTCCGCTACTCGTGGAACGAATTGTCCTCGACAACCCTGGCTGCGGCCAGGGAGGGTGGGTCCCGAGCGCACCAGACGGGCCCAAGCGGGCCCAAGAAGGCCCCAAGAGGCCACGAAGTCATCCCCGAGACAACCCAAGATAGCCAGGAGGACCGCCAACAAGCCTCGAAGAAACAAGACTTCGGAACACTGGCATCGGCAGTCTTCAGAGCCTCATGTCGGCTCCAGAGGCCCCCAAGCTCGCCCCGAGACGGCCCACCAAGCGCCCCGTGAGGGCTCTGAGAGCGTTGCAGGAATAGCTCGAGAAAGCCCAAAAAGGGCCACACAGTATTGGAAGAGTGCCCCAAGACTCCCAAGGAGTACCCCTGATGGCTCCAAACGGCCGACGAGACCCCCAACACGGCCCAACAGGGTCTCCAGACCGCCCCAGGAGAGTCCCAAGGCGGCCCAGAGGGTGCTCGAGACGGCCCAAGAGGCTTCAAAACAACCCAACGTGCCCCCTTAACAGCTTCACAGTGGCCCCTGGAGATCGACGGGACAGGCCCTCTCGAAAGTGCGACGGCGATCAGAGGCCCAATATGTGAAAAGTCCACGTGTCGATGTAGACAGTTGTATCTCTCATATGCCGGATACCCAGCCCCGGGGCCCCTGGGCTGAAGACCTCCAGAGGTGCCCCCTCCCCCCCCCGAGGCCTCCCCGGGGCCTCCCCAGAGCCTCCGTCAATCTTCCCCAGCCCCCCCTCGGAGCTTGCAGGCGCGGCGTGTTCCACACAGGACCCAAACGGGCCAACGTGGCTTCCAGACGGTCTGAAAGACCCCCAAGACGCCCCAAGACGGCTCGAAGATAAGTTTCAAGAGGGCCCGACGAGGCGAACATCGTTTGATTGTTTTGCAGGATAGGTCATATGTCTAAAACACTCGCTGTTTTCATGCGCTGCCCCCAGAAGAGCGCCCCACAGCGGCCTAAGAGGTCTCCCAGACGACCCCAAGACGACCCAAGAGGGTCCCAAGACGGCCCATGAGGCACCCAGGACCGCCCTAGACGGCCCCAAGAGTTGCCTTGGGGGGGAGGCGATACCACATGTCAATGCTTCCGCCCCAAGAGGACCCCGAACATCGCCAGCAGGCCCCAAGGATGCCCCCGAGAGGACCCCAAGACACCCCAAGATAGCTCCAAGAGGACCCTCAAGAGTGCCCAAGGAAACACAGATCGCCCCACTCCCTTAGGAGGGCGTCTACCTGGTGTACGTTGCATACCTGCGCGCTGACACTCCCGCCGCACAGGTCAGCACATTCCTGGCGAGTCTTTCCCGCAGGTCAGTACGCTGTCGCCCGTCACCAGCTCTGGTATACAGATTTGCAGCCGTTCCCACAGGCGCTTGCGAAGAGCAAGCAAAACACGTACCGAGAGGCACCCTGGACCGCCCAAGACGGCCCAAGAGAGCGCCAATAGGGGCCCGTGGGGGAGGCCTTCACCTTAAGACGACTTCGAAGATAGCCAGCATGGCCCCATAGACCCCCCGAGAGGACCCAAGAGGCCCCAAGACGGCTCAAAGAGGACTTCCAAGAGCGCCCAACGCTGCACAGTCGCCCCATTCCCTCAGGAAAACGTGCACTTCTACCACATTCGCTATTTCATGAGCGCAGCACCCGAGACAGGCCCAGAGGCCTCGAGAGGCCCCTAGGCGAGCCCCACAACGGCCCAAGAGCTCCTCCAGAGGGCCCCAAGACGGCCCAAGAGGGCCCCAAGACGGCCCAAGCGACACACAGGACCGCCCAAAACGGCCCCAAGATGGGCCTGTCGGGGGGAATGCGAGCGCACATTTCGACGCCTCCACCCCAACAGGACCCCTCCGAGAGGACCCAAGAGGGCCAGAAGACGCCCCGAAGAGGCGCCGAACGGCGCCCCAAGAGGCTCCAGAATTGCTCCCAACAGGCTGCCCAGAGGATCCCGAAGGGACGCGAACGGGCCTTCAAGAGGTCTCACCCCCGACAACCCCGGCACGGTGGCAGGGTGTGCCGAGGGCCACAGGGAGGGGCACGCGTGGATGAGGGGCACGGTGGCCCCTCCTCTTCGTGTCCTCCTCCTGCTCCTCCTCCTCCTCCTCCTCCTCCTCCTCCTCCTCCTCCTCCTCCTCCTCTTTGTGTCCTCTTTCCGTAGCCATATTGGCTCAAGCCCCACGTCCCTCCTCGGGGATCTCGTGGGGTGCGAGCATCCGTACCAATTGCTCAAGCGCGGCCAGCAGGTGGCCATTTTGCAATTACCGCACTTCTTCACAGAGTGTCGATCCTCCTCGGCCTCGCGGCCGCTTCCATATACGTCTATCTGCACTCGGCCGCACCATGGCGCGCCCAGGGGGCTCCGGATCGCAGCACCCTGAGGGCGGAGGCGATCCGTGGGCAGCCAGTGCAGCCCA